GGAAAAGTTTAGGACAAAACAATGCATTTTGTCGAGTGAAGAAGCACCATTTGAAGCAGCATCCAATTAACTTGGAAGATAATCGTCTCCAATCTCCGCATTAGAAGTCACCTCTTACATAGTACGAATGCATGAACCATTTGGTTTCGCAATACTTGTGGCCAGGCAGGGGGTTGGACTTCCCAGATTGTTGAATCAGCTTAACCCGTAAGCCAACTGATTCGGCCTAGGGCCTGTGACGTGTTTGAGAAACCGTACTGTTCGGCCGGAGCTGCCGTTGGACCACGCGCGCCGGGAAAGATCTGCCGGTTTTTATGCTAGTTTTTCAGTGCGATGTGGCCGCCTCGTGAGTGGATGAAGTACTGGCCACATCTTGCGAGATTGTGGCCTACAACGCTAGTGGCATCGTCCAGCGTTTCCTCACGTTTCTTATTCACTTCCTCCAAGTCCTCAGGAAAGATAAGTTTTTCATATCTTATCTATTCATCAGCTCGGATCTTCTGGGTGATTGTGGTAGGCGCCTCATCGGTTTGCCAAAGCTTTTTTGGGGGGGGGGTGGGATGAGGGCGGGGGCTGGAGCCGGTCTGGTTGCCGTAGGTATGGGTCTGGTGCTTGTCATTCACCTAGCTACATGCATGAATGGCTCTGACAGCTTGCGTTTTTGTAGGTTCCAGTGGTAGCAGTCCCATTGCCGCCCGGCCGCGAGGCATTGTGCCGGAGGCTAAAACATAGATGTTCTTTTTACGTTAGCCGTTAGCCGTTTCAGAAGTTCTGCCTGCCTGAGGTGCACACAGCTATCACGCAAAGGCGCCAACACAATGTTGAAGGCGCATGCCCTCGCTTCAGCAGTGCCTTTTCAGGTGAACACCAGCGGGGGAGAGCCCAGCACCCTGATGAGCAAAACGAAGAGATGGACATAGGAACAGATGCTTTGGTACTAGGTTCTCCGGCGCTCTTCGCTGTGGCGAGCCAGTTGGTTCCCCGGAAGCTTTGAAGGAGAGAGTCGACGAAGGCATAGATGGCAAAAAGATGTTCAATTTTTTAGGAAGCTTGAGGAGCTGCTGTCCCTCGCCAAAGTAGCTGCTGAGCCAGCTTTGAAGCGGAGGCGAAGGGGAGAAGTTGTTTTCCGAAAAGGTGTGCTCCTGTTTCGTCAGGTCAGCAGCTTTGGCCTGAACCTTGGAACTGAAATCTTGGCGTTGCTGTGGCCGCCATGGCATTCCCTGGAAGAGGCGACCGGGGAAAAGCAAGGGTTCCGAGTCAGCTTATCCGAGAAGAAGGAGCTAAAAGGTAGTCTTAAAGGAGTGCGGCCCTATGTGACACTGCCTCGGCAGGAGTTCATGCAGTGCCGAGGACAAGCTTGGTTTGCGTGCCCCTGTGCAATCCTCTTGCAAGACAACCACTTAAATCAAGGCAGAAAAAGGTTCGGGTTCATTTTGGAGATGGTCATTGCCAATGCTTAATTGAAGCATGCCTACCGTACGTTCCGATAGGGGCCTGCCTCTCGAGGTACCAGAACCAGAGGAGCCAGGCATGGCTTCGCAGGAGTCCAGCTCAAGCTCAGTGAAGCTATCTCCCACCAGGCAAGATCCGTTGCTACGTGGCCAGCACCTCGACCGTTTCAGCCTCAGTGATAGAGCCAGGTTTTTTGCAGGGAAGAGGCTTCACTGCTGGTTCCCATGTGAGGTCTGAGACTGAGACGTAAAAGTTGTACAGTCTGCGACAGCTCTGCGACGGTTTGCGAGACAAAGCGGGTGCAGCTTGGGAACTGAGGAAGATGCTGGTAGGGCTGTCCAAGAGTTTAAGGTTTAGGCCCTTTAGGCTGACAAAGGCTGCTAGGGCCTCATTGGCACCATTTTGACAGGCTCGAACCGCAAAGGCGGAAAGCGGCCCAAAGGGGGTGGGGAGGCCAAAAAGGTCCCATCGGCCCCACTTTGAGGATGTGCTCAGCTGAGACTCGGGGAAAGGGAAAGGACGGAAAAGGCCTTGTGTTCGCGTCACTCAGCAAGTTGAGTTGAGGACGGAGCCACAGCGAGCTGCCGTGACGATCGCATCGGCGCTTGGTGCTTGGACTTTCACCTGCCAGCTGGTCCCTAGCTCTATGGAAACTCTTGAGGCCCGACGAAGTCGACTTTGGTGCGATAATGGAGCTCATGCCCCTTAGCTTCGAGCGGCAGCTGGGTTCCAGGTTCAGTTCTCAGAGATTTGTGACAAACTGAGGACTTCGAAGTACACTATCGACCTTGTGGTGCCTGGGTGGAATGCTCTTGCAACTTTTTTGTCAACAGCAGCCTTCTCTGCCTGTCATTTGAGAAGTTGCGTTTCGACGCTTCAGAAGCCCGAGGACCGGCATGTGGCCGCCATTCGGAAGCTGTGCAAAGTCTGCTGCAACGGCTGCGAAACTCAGACCATGAATGCAAAACGAGGAAGCGAAAGCAGCGAAGCAAAGAATAGCCGCATGTTTTTTGCAAGCAGTCAGGGTGGAAGAAGGCGTCATTCAACATTCCTTGGCAAGGCTTCCTGCTGAAGCACCTGGAGGCCTTGGTGGATTTGCTACATCTGGCTGCCTGGAACCCAACCTGCCACAGCTGCTCTCACCTGGAGACAGTCTTGTACTTAGGTCGAGCGTTTCGCGCAAGGCAGATGCCAAAAAGATCCGAAAAGGGGACAAAGACCCCAACAGAAAATTTTGTGTTGGCTGCGAGTCGCTGCGAGGCCAAGATTTGGCACAGGCGCTCTGTGATTTCACTCGAGTGGCATCACAGCCCTTCGTGAGCTGCAAGGCTCCGCTGGCTCTTTTCCCGAACCCGAAGTTTGCTGAGAAGCCAAAAACTACCTTTGTTTGGGTCAGACGTCCGACATGATCACCTACGGCCACCACCTGCCAGCGTTCATCAAGGAAGGGGAAATAACTGCTTACGCAACGCATAATATGAATGTATCTCACAGCAGCTCTTCTTTCCGTGTTCTAACTTGGCTACTTCCAGCTTCCAGGGCTTGGTTAGCGTCCTGAGCTACACGCTGCCACCCACGGCCACGGCCACGGGGCCTCCTTCGGAGGTCCTTTTGAAGCCAAGCCAAAATTTCTTCCTTTAAAGAACAGAAGAAACCTTTCTTTGAGAGCAAAACCAGCAGGCTGGGCTCGAGCAGCGGAAGGCCATGTTCGAGCGCCTGCGCATCGAGGCCCGAGAAAAAAAGGCGAAGAGAAGATGTCTTAAAAAGCTGAAAAATGAATGTTTCCTGAGGTGGCCCACACCCTGGCTTGCTGGGCCCGGTTTGGCCTCGATGAAGACAGCCAGCGCCGCAGCCGCGGCTTTAAGCCTGAGAAACGACGCCTTTTGAAAAAGGCGTCGAGCTCCTCCCGAACCAGCCGCTGATCCAAGCCGTGGCCGACTCCGGGTCCGTGCTGCAAACTGCAGCAAACTGCAACAGCTGATCTTCAACTTCTTTAGCCCGCTTTGAGGACTCCGAACTTGCGGATCTTGCGCCAGTCCAATGTCATGGCCAAGGCCTCAGGCGTGACTCAGCCTAAGCCACTCAGCCTGTAGAAGGCAACGAGCAACAAACTCATGTGAGCTGCGGGAGGATGCAGGATTGGCCGCACGGGGTTTGTGACACACTTGCTGCTAGCACTGCTTCTCCATTCTATCCCGTTCCTCGGCAAAGCTGCCTATCCCCGCACTTTGGCACCCTGGCTTAAACCTGTGAGGAGTTGCTCTTGATTGGTAAGGCTGCCCCCCCACCCTAGATACGTAACCTCCACCCATTACTCCACGGATCCCAGACGGCTTTACTGCTTGAAATAATAGACTTAACAGGTTTTGAGTCCAATTGGTTTTTGTTTTAATTGGACCGGATATTTTGCAGTTTGGGGATCATTTGCTTTAAGCCTAGAAGGTGTTTTGGGCCCAACACTGCCTCCGCCTAAAAAGCGAAAGCATGCTGTAAATCTAGGTGTTTTATGAATCAAGAGCGCGGATTAGGGCGTATCCTGCACTTCGGGTTGCCGATACACGCGGGGCCCAGCCCTCTGCTCCATGCCCTGGATGCGCACATGCATGTGCCTGGATCAAGCCCGGATCTCCATGTGAGCCTACTTGTGAAGCATTTCGTTGTTTGTCAAGGCGGCTATCCACTGTGTGTGGCACCTGAATCTTGAAATACGCCATGACCAGGAATGTTGTCTAGCATTCCAGCTCTGGGTGGCTCCGTGGGCTGACAACTCCTTCTACGCTTGCGGTTTCCAGAACTGTGTACCTTCAGGCCTTGCATGACTTCTCAAGTCTGCAGCCCCAAAGCTGCGTCTTTCGAGTTAACCTCTAGCATGGAGAGGCGTTCTTTTTCACAGCCTCACCGAGCCCAAAGGGCGAGGGAAGCTGTTGAACATTCTGCAAAGTCACACAGTGAACAAGGAAAAGGCAGTCTGTGCCTCTCTCTGACTCTGTCACTCTCCCGGCTACAATACTCTTCCTCTCTCTCACGCTGGTCAATTGCACGGAGGAAAGATACCCCATGTCCTTGGATCCTTGGCACGTGCTGAGGATGCTGTCTCTGCTTCATTCCGTTCGGAAGATAGCCCGGAGGCCAGGCCAGTCGGGGCTAGAATTCAGGCTATTTTTGAACAGCCGTGTCGTGGATCATGAGCAAGCACTTGCCGCTAGTCGATCGTCATCACGCTCGGCGCAATCCGTGATATGCCCTCTACTTTGCAACAAGGGTAAGCTTGCCCGCATGGGTGATTGCAGAGAACCTGAGGTCGCTGTACAGGCCCCTTGCGTGCCAGATCACAAATTGCGGCCTCATATCCAACCTCGTGCATGTCATCCGGGTGAACTTGCTGGGCAGCCTCCTGAGGCTTCCAGCGGGATCCAATGACCCTTTGGCAGTGAAAGTCTTGGAGAGCTGACATCACCAAGGATCGGACGTGCTGCTCGTGGCAGCTGAGGTGCTGTGGAACGCATCTTGCCTCAGCATTTGGAGTTTGAGCCCACCCAGACAGGCTTTCGTGCTGCTCTTAAGTCTTAAGATTTGGAATCTGCCAGGTTCTCGAGCTAGACTGGGACCGGTTGAAACTATGTGGAAGTGTTGTGTGAAAATGAGAGACTGCCCCTGAAAGAAGTCCCGGAGGATGGTGCCACGGAAGCGCTTGGCCAAGAAGAGGCCGAGATGTTTTTTGGGTTCTTGAGCGGGTCCAGCTCGGCAGCCAACGTCAGTTTCTGAGTTCCATCCAAAGGGAAAGGGCATCACGAGTTGACATCTGCTTTGTCTTTATATAAGTTGCATATCTTTTTGGAATTGTTGCGAAGTTTCAGAGGCGGCTGCATCGAGTTGAGATTGTTTTGGAAAGAGCTTCGCTACAACAAGGCAAGATCCGCAAGCGCAGCCATGGAAGCGTATCGCCTGAATCATGCTACTGCTCAATATCCCGTTGGCCTGTTGAGAGCCGTACCTGAAAGAACAACCCTTGAATTCTTGGACCCCATATACTTCTCATGCAAGCTGTTCAAAGGGACTTTTCGAACCCGTTTTGGACAGCGACAAAAATCATCTAAAATCACAAATTTGAACATGGTTCGTCCACGAACAACAACAGCATCCATCCCCAAAGCCGCATGCATATCCCCGGCTCTTACAGGAAGCTTGCCGTTCCTGTGGATGCAGCCCTCCCAAACACGAAACATCCAAAACCAAAAGTGGTGACCCTTGCATGGCCGCATTTGTGCGTCCTACCGACAAGGTTTGGAGAAGGCCCCATTCAAGCCTTCAGCCATGATGGAGGGCGGCAGTCAGCCACTCGGCAGTTGCTGGGTGTGGCCATGCAGGTCATCGAGTCCTTCCGGGACTTCATGAACGCCGTGCTCACGCGGGGCTACCGCTTCAAGGCGCGCTGAGCCTGGTTGCCTTCAGGCATCTTCAGGCCTTCGGTTTCAGGGTCCAAGGTGGCCAGGGAGCGTAAATGGGATGAGGCTCCTTTCGGAGGCATGTCAACTGTTTGGTGCGCACTTCTAGCCTCAAAGTGGCTCCATTCCACCCAGAAGGCACAGCTTTTCCGCAGGACAAGATCTTCCGGAACGACATGATGGTCCTGCTGATGTACATCTCCAAGCGGGTGGAGAACCGCACGCTCTTCGCGTCCACGGGGCCTGGTGTTAGAAGATGCCATCCGTCTCTCGTTTGCATCTGCACATGAGAGGCTTATGGCACTTCTTCTCAGCTACGCAGCTGCTGCCCCAAAAGAGTCTGAGTGGATCCTTGCATAGCCATACTGGGGGGGGGGGGAATCTTGCAGGTTTCAGAGGCACGACGTAAGGAGCTCTTACAGAGTGGTGTTCTCGAGTCGCACTCAGCTTTTCTGGCGGTGTCTCTGCAACATTGTTCCCTTGTGCAAGCCTCAGGAGAGGTGCCTGCAGGAGGCAGACTGCGTCAGCTTGCTTGCATGAATGCTGTTGCAGGAGGGGTTCAGCTAAGACCCTAAGTCTTTCCAATGTCTCCTTTGCTATGCTTCTTCACCTCCTCGCGATTTTGGATGGTTCTTGCGGCTATGGGGCCGCCTGCTGGCAAAGCTGCGAGCAGGTGGCAAGGTCACGTTCGTTCGGCCACCCCTCCTTGCGACTATTGCTTGGACATCATGGAAGCGATGGCAGCCATGACACGACGGGTCGACATCCAGTTTAAGGGGAAGAAGGGGAAAGAAGGAAAGCCAGCAAAAGCAAAGCAAGGCCGCAAAGCCACGAATCGAGGTCATTGAGGGGAGAGCAGCTTTTGCAGGCTGAAAACGCAGGTGTCTCGTCGGTCCCGTAACAAATCTGCTCCAAACTGCAGACCGGTAGCAAGGTAGCCAGCGGTTTCAAAAAGGGCCGGACCATTTGCGAGGTCCGGGTGCTGCCGGATCTTGGTGACGGAGCCAAGGCAGCAAATGCAACAACTGTTGCCGCTGTCGCCTGCTCTGTCCGCTTGCTAGGCTTCGAAGGGCATTCCTTTAACAAACACCCAAGAGGAGAGAACGGGAACGTGGGGAAGATGAGTGTTTTTTGACGAGAGCATGCGTCCAAGCTCGTAGGACATGGAGTTCAGAACGCTGCTTTGGGGCACCCTCGCGCGATGCTGCTCCTCGGAACCGTGCGCAGAGGCTCCAAGAGAAGACGTGGATGCTGACGGAAAGACACCAGTTTCGGAGGCTGCTGTGCAGTTTGGCTTCGTGGAGTCCCTCCTGGACTGTTTAGATGCCACGAGCTGAGAAGTCCCCTTGCATATTTACCGCATCTCATTTCCTATTTCAGGCCGAGGCCCCTCCCGAGAAGTGGAGCCAGGAGCAGCGGCGCCAGGCGTTCAAAAGACCTTCATAGCTTCAAAGCCCAAAAGCCGAGAAAAACCGCGCCAGGTCCAGTTAGAAGCCTTGTCCTCCTTGTTCCAGCTGGTCCTCTGCAAGGGAGTAACTTTTAAATTGGCGGGAGCAAAGTTATTTCAGGTACAATACGTGCCGGATGCGTTCATGGAGGCCCAGGGCAATGCCATGGTGCTTCAGCTGCTGCAGGCCCGCAGGGGCCCTCAGGCCCTGCCTCAGGATCCTTGGGCAGCCCTCCAATGCCAGGCAACACGCAGCCGAGAAGTGCAGAAGAAGTGCCTCCACCTCTTGCAGGCAAGGCAAGGCAGGCAAGTCACACGAGATCGGATGATCGGATAGCTGTGGACTCACTTCAGCTACAGGTGGCCGTGCGAATGGGGCCGCATTTTGCAGAGGCCCAAAGCGTTTCAATCCTGAAGTGGGACGAATCCCGCTTTTCTTTTATGACCACCAGACTGCTTGAGGAACGGTGAAGGTCCAGGCCCCCAAGATGAAACCTGAATTTTGGAGAAAGGAGTCGGCATGTCGATGCTGTCGGCCGTGTTGGTCGTGTTCGGTCAAGCAGTGTTGCTTTTGTCATGGTGTCTGGCGTGTGGCTCGGTTTGGCTATGTCGCTCATGTCCTGCAATTGATGTTGGTCCTGTTGGTCGCGTGCATCGTTTTGGATTGCTGGTCGTATCGCTCGTATCCTTTGCGTCGGGCTATGTAAAGGGGGTGTCTGTCGTGTCGCACAGGGCGTGTGTGTTTCTGTTTCATCGGCTGTCTTAGTGTCGTTGCTCTCTCCGTGCTCAGCTCCACCTGATGGTCGGACATTGAAAGCGCTCAGATGTGTATACACATGGATCTTCTCGAAGACTCTCCCTTTTTTTGCTCCGCGGGGTTCCCGCTTCACTTTCACTCTGCCTGGGCTGAGCTCTCCTTTTGCTGCTTCACCGTTCCACGGTTCCTGCTTCGCAGTGCTTCGCAGGTTTGCAAGAGTGATTAGGAGCTCTCTCAGTTCAGGCTGTAAGCTCAAGGCTTTCAGAATGTTGTGTTGGAAAGATTTGGACGGGGTTATTGAATACGGAACGGTTGGCCTAATGGGACATCTGTGAAATTCTTTATGGGCTTGGACTGACCGCGTTGCTGACAAACAAGGCAGTTTAAACGGCCGCTATCTCCCGAATGACTGACGCATACATGCATAAAAGCACGCTGCGTCCCTCAGATTCTCATTCCCCTATCAATTTAGCAAGTAGGGCGGGAGGGCGGAGAGGCCGTGCTAGTGGAGCGCCCATGCAAGCTGACACGCGCAGTTGGCGTTTTCAAGAGCTGCAGTTTTGTGGTGAGCGCGAAGTGCATTGCATTGCAGCATATTGCAGCACTCTGCTGTTGGCAGAACCTGGGCCAGCTCGGAGCTGTGGGGACTTTGGTGGAGCTCTTCACCGACAAGGCGAAGAAAGAGGGAGAGGGAAATTTATTCCTTCCCTGACGGTTTGCGTACCGCGTCTCATGCATCCTTCCTGCTACATGATTCAGGACAACCCTATGACCTCGAGGCAAATGTGTGCTTCAGTGCTAGCCACCATGTCCGGGCCTTGGATCCTTACATTCACGCTTTTCACGCTTCTGGCTCGCTGAATCTCGGAAAGCGCTTTCAGGTGTAAGGAGTATCCTGAAAACGCCCGCGAGTTCCGCAAGAAAGACGGCGTGGAGGCTATGCGCGATGAGGCAAAGGGCTGTCAAGGTTGCAGAGCATTGATGTCGATGTCTCTTAAGACTCAGGTGGTGTACCGGCCGGGAGAGACAACCGACAACCACCTCTTTTACAGCCTCTGCGTTGTGGATTGTGCTTGGAGCTGGGACGGAGCCGGGGAAGGCATCAGCGAGCTGAGAAGAGATCCAAAGCTCCAAAGCTCTTTGAGGTTTGGAACTCTGTGGTTGGAACACGGAAGAACGAGATCCGATTCCTAGATGCAGGTGCCACAGCTTTGAGCAAGCCCAAGCTTAAACATTCTCTCCAAGCTTTGCAACACGGCGTTTCGTTCTCCTTTGCAGGTGGCTTGTTCGCACTTTTGGACTGCCTCGAGGTGGCTCCAATGATCCTCAAGCGCCTCGGCACGAGATAGAAAGATGTAGGCTCAGCTTCGCGTCCCGCTTCACTTCAGGCGGCAGATCATTGGATGCCTTGCCGATCTTATGGAGTACAAGAAGGCCTCAGAGAAGCGAGGCAAGGAGGTCAAGGGGTTCGAGTCGAATTGCTGCGAGGCTGCGAAGCTGTTCACACAGTGGAACTCGCAGGTGCGCAAGCTGTGTGGTGCAAGCGTTGCTTTGAAGGGTGCAGAGCAACAAGCGGCCGCAAAGCAGCTGCAAAGAGGTCACGATGAAGGGTGCTCTCAGACTCCTCCTTGAACTTTGGCAATGCGAGCAACAGGCCCAACAGAAAACGGTCTCTGCAAGAGCTTGGGGCCAGCTGAGCATCCTCCTTATGCCACATCTGGACGTAGGCGGCTGGGAATTTATCTCCAGACGGCGTGATTCGTGACCTCGTCGCCTGGCTAACTGCGAAAAGGGGGGAGCTGAGCATTTGGAGGATAGACAAACCCGTTTAGGAACAGCCTCTGAACCCGCGAGCTCCACCGACCTTAGCCGGCTGCTTGGAAGAAGCCAAAAGTCACCGAAGTCACCGTCTCACGGTCTTCTGGGAAGGCACTCGGTGAGCTGATCGATGATGGAGACAGCACGGTCACCAGCACCAGCCCATACGCTCAGCTTGCCCGTGTTAGTACCATGTCCCACAAGCTTTGCGTTGCTGCTTGGCTTTTGGTTTGCAGGCCGCTTGGCGGGGAAGTTTCGGCATGCCAAGAACTTTGCGGACACCGCCGGGACCGGCAACACGAACGCTGGCACCACGAACGGGACCACGGCCACGGTGACCAGCCTTTCGAGGACGCGTACGGTAAAGGCCGGGCAAGGCTGCTTGCAAGACTTCGAAAAAATGGAATGGAAAGGGCTTTGCGGCCATCTCAGGGCTTCGAAAAAGCTCCAGCTTCTGCTCAGCAGCGACAAGGCTCACAATGGCTTTCCTTCGGCAGCATCGATCAGGACCCTAGAAACCATCAGAGAGCTGCAAAACCGTTCAGTGTAGAAATTGTCGGGGGCTGCTTCAGGACTGTTGGGAGCCTCAGAGTCTGACGGGAAGTTTCTTTCCTCGGCCGTTCCCCGGGCCGGGTGGCCAATCCGCTCCCCGAGGCCGTGCGAAGATCTACGCGGTGCTGAAGTGCATCGGCTTCGAGTGCCAAGAGACCCTCAGCATCGCGGAGAGGCCAAGCGAATGATGAGCCGAGCAGAAAGAGAGCAGCAAGAAAGCCAAAGCAGTACGGCCCTACCTCTTCAACTTAAGCCTTAAGCACTTGGAGCCGCCTTGCCTTCTCACAGGCAACAGATGGAGCTGGTGAAGCTCTATCCCATGGCAGCTTGATGCTCGCGCTTCCTTTGAGCTCTTACAACCCAAGCCTCAAGCTCAGGTGGAGCTTGAGATGTGGATCAAGGCCCGAAGCTTCTTCAGACGCTGCGTCGCTTCGCCCGCTTCGAGCGCATTTTTGCGCATGCCATCTGATGCCCTTTCCCAGGTGCAGGAGAGTTTGGCCATCAGGGGCATCAAGCCGGTGAGCGCCGACCGACAGTGGATTGAGGAAGAGTTCCGGGATTCTGGGGCATTGCTCAGCTGATTAAGATTGATGTAAGCAATGTAAGCGACTTTCCAGTGTCGACTTCAGGATTGCGTCACGGAGCGGAAAGACCAAGCCGCCTGGGTCCAAAACGTGGAAGCCCTCAGACTGAGAGAAAAGTTGAGCAGAGCGGAGCAGAGCGGAGCAGAGCGGAGAGAGCGGAGCAGCAGAGCGTGGCTCTCTGCCACAGCACAGCGACAGCACAGCGAGCAAAGCTTTGAAGCGGCGACGCAATGACAGCACACATGAGATCACATGTTCACCACTTTTCCTACCTCTTTACAAACCGCTCTGTTGCAACCTCAGATCCAGAAGAAGCTCGCCGAAGAGAGGCAACGCGAAGAAGAGGCCAGCAACGCAAATCCCTGACTCGAGAAACGTGCAAAAAGCTGGCAGGCAAGCCTGGAGCGCTTCTACAAGGCATGGCCTGAAAATTGGGACAAGTCGGACAACTCGAGATGATGCCGCCAGGACTTGCGCGGTCGTGCTCAGATCCAAAGGATGCCGCAGCCACCTGGTGCGCGAGACACGCTTCCCCTGAGCTTCTCCCAGTTTTAGCTTCGGCCTTGTTTGTCCATGTTTGAAGGCTACCCTTCCCGCAGCAATGACAGCGACATCTACGAGACCAGGACTTAAAGATTGCATCACGTCCATCACGTCGCGGTCACTTTGCAGCTTGCGTTGCTTTATGTCTCTTTGCTTCGCTCTTCTGAGGTCGGACGGCCTGGACTCTCCTTAAAGTCTCACCAACTGCACTTGCCTGCACGCAAAAGAAGGGGAGTTTCAATCTTCAATCTTCACCTGAGTGGCTATTCTTCCATCGTGTAGACTAGTCGAAAATGCTTAAGACGTTGCTTTTTTTGGTGGCTCGAAAGTCGGAAAATGGTCCCCAACAGCCTTGAGATCCGCAACACCAAAGCTGGCCGTGGCCTTTTCGCTGCGCAGCTCTCAATGTGCAAGGAGATTCATGAAAAGTTTCGTAGATTTGTTCGTGATTCGAGGTGCAGCCGGTGCTGGCCTGCAGCGAGGTGCTGGCCGCCGAGATCCAGGCCTTGGCCTTGGCCAAGCGGGCGCGGCCAAAGCGCTGCCGCCTTTGCCTCGACCGTTTCGACGATTTCGAAAGCCGCGAAAGCCTCAGAAAGCCTCGGGCTTCGTGCACCTCTTGCATCTGGTGCACCGCATTTTGCTTGTGGTTCAGACTCAGGCTCCCTGGAGGCGAGGCGGTCTTGCCTGAGCAGAAGTCGAAGGATCGCCTCCTCGGCCAGGCTTGCCCTCACTGCGGCGAAGCCTATTTCTGCGGGAGGTGCGACAAGGAGCCGGGCCAAACATCATCCACCTTTCTTCCTGTCTTTCCTCCTGCCTTCTGGCTTAGAGACCGCTGGTGCCCAAAACGATTTCACAGGCCCTGGAGCCTTGCTTGTACTGAAGCAGGAGACGATTTAGCAGAGCAAGACTCCGAAGGCCCGAAAAGGGCAAAAACATCGCCAACAAAAAAACGCCTGCCCGAGATCACGGCAGCAGAAGGCTGAGTTCCATCTGGTCTGGGCGGCCTTTGACGGTTTCAGCCAGATGATGTTTCTAGCTGAAGCTGCCCGAAATCTCGCCACGAGCGTGGTTCGCGTGTCTGGACCCGTGCCAGTGATTTTGAGGCTTGAACAGGTGCAGCGTCGTCCGCTTCTACGAAGGGAAGAGTTCATCGCCGGTAGTGCTTGTGAGCACAAAATGATTCTAATGGCTCTTCCGATTTCTGTTCGATTATTTATTTCATGTTGCACGGAACAGAGGCCGCTGATGGCAGTACCTTTGCAGTGTTGTGCTTGAGTGAAAGAAAGCTAGCAGAGCGAGGCTTGAGTTCTTGAGTCTAGTCAACTGCTTTAGCAGCTTTCGTCAAGTTGTAGTTGTAGCCTTCAAGGTTGCGAAGTTGGAAATCACAGAATACATCACAGCATGAGGGTGGGGAGTGGATCGAATGAAATTCGTTCACGGGAAGCCTAGGTTTGGGGAGGTCGAATGTGAAACTAAGAGAGGGGAGTCGCAGGAATAACAGCATGTTCGGTTCGCAGTTGAACGAGTAAATGGGTAACATCATGCTTGGTTGTTGCAACAAATCTCCCGACTCCCTTCGTCGGCTTCAGAACTTGCGGAATTCCAAAAACTCGGATTCATGCAGATGCTGAAATTGTTTTTTTCAATTAGCGGCTGGTAGACAAAGAAGAAGCACATGAACAAATCGGATGTGATATCTGAGTAAATCGATGTTCGTTTGTATGTATGTGTTTAGTTATTGGCAGCCACTCAAAAGGATGAGATTCGAATGCCGACACGCAGACCTTGCATGCCCAAAGCGCCAGTAGAATCATGCTTGGTCGTTGCATCAAGCCTCCCTTCTCTTTTGGCAGTGTGTATTACACTTGTGTGGTCATGCTGCAAGACATCATGCTTTGTTGCAGCAACCTCTCTAGTCTTTGGAACACTTCCTGTGGATGCATCAAGGCCCCTTACTGTCCATACTCCTTCAATGATGCGTACCGTTGTTGGTCATGCTGCGTGCCAAAAACATCATGCCTGATTGTTGCAACAGGCCTCCCATCGCTTTCTGTAGTGTTGATTACTCTTGCAGCAAGATCATGCTTTCTGGTTGCATCAAGCCTTTGTACTCCCCCTGTCTTGTCAACTATCTTGAAGTTATGGTGCGAAGAACATGCTGCCTGGTAGTTGCATGGAACCTCCCTGATGTGTTCGTAAGGCCATGATACGAACATCGTCATGTCTACCCTTGCAAGGTCATGGTGTCGGTAACAACAAGCTGGTGGGCTGCATCAAACATCCATACTCACTCGAAGTGTTCACTAACCTTGTGTGCGGGCAGCAGCGCCATACACGGTTCCCTACTTCCCTCAGTAGCGTGCGCTGCCCTTCATGGTTGCGGTCCCAGTAGCCTCCTGCTTGTGGTTGCATCAAACCTCCCTAGGCCCTTACGTGGTTTTCCTTTGTCCCTGCAAACTCATGAATGAAATTGCATTTTCTTGGTCTTCGTGATTGCATTAAGCCTCTCGATTCCATCCGCAGCAGCGACTCCCGTTGCAAAGTCTTTGTGGGCCAACCACAAGAATGTGAGTCATGCATTGGCCCCTTCTGCAAGAACAAGAAAATCCCTCCCCCTCCAACCCCTCCTTTCTTCGCGGATGGATGTGCAGGCGGGGGCAGCTTTCAGGGTATCAGGTGACGTGGTGAAGCGGGTAGGCTTCTGGTGCGTGCATCCCTCTCAGGTTATGGTTGCCCAAAACGCTCTTTTAAGCTTTAGCACTGAACATCAAGGAGCTGCTCCCACGATTTCCCGTGACAGCACTGGCATTCTGCTACAATAGCTTACGAGCATCAGCATATGGACTGATGAGGGGCTTGACCGGGATGAGTCGCTGCAATCCAGATGCATAAGCATGCGTTCGCCTCGAGTTTTTGACGAGCAACAGGAAGATTGCTGGAGAGTTTACGCCGCAGCAGATCGGTTGCGACAGCAGTCTTTCAGGGAAACAGCTTCTAGGGCGCAGGAGACTGTATCACAGGCGCAGAGATTTGGAGACATGTTGGACAATGCCAGGTGTGACTTGGATTTGTTGCACGAAGCTGTTGGGGCATTACAGGCAGACGCAGTTAATGAGCGTATGCAACGTGCAGAAACAGCAGGCAAACCCGCTAGACGGGAAGGGCTATCCCAGGCTGCTGAACCATTGCGGTCGAGTGAGCAGACATCTTTGCCGAAAGCTCAGCAAGAGTCATTGGCAGGGTACCGACAGCAGGCGGAGTTAGTCGCGAAGCAGTTGCTAGAGCAGCATCAAGAGGCTACAATGAATCAGCAGCCTGAGAACGGGGTTGCCGAGATAGAGTGAGGGTCTTTCCACCTGGCACGACTCCCCAGAACACTTGCGTAAACCAGGGCTACTCCTGAGTGATTCTATGGACGAGTGCTGGGAGTCAACTTGAACCAGCCCGTAACTAGCCCTGACTGACGGCTTGGGTACTGGTGACTTTGCTTACACCTTGGCCTTTGGTGCTCAAAGTAGCAGCTTCTGAAGGCACACTTGGTCATGAAGCAAATCCAGCAATGTAGACTCATCAGTGATGTGGGGTGAAGGTGTGTACGTGGGGATGCGGGGAAGAGGCTTCGCCTTTCTTGCATCAGACAATACAACCTGGCATTGCAACTGACGACGGCTGAATGGACCTGACCAGTTCACGGAAGAGCCCGGACCCTATTAGCGCAAACAATGGCATCATCATCAATGACCTGCACATGTGCACAATCTGGCAAGAACATTGGGAGCTTCCCTGGAATCCAAACGAATGGCATGGGCTTTGTCTCTACCAGTTCACCAAGTGACTTTACATTAGGGCAGTTGTCCAGGAGATGCGCCGTGTCATTACCAAAATCAGAACCTTCAAAACCCAACATGTGGCCTGAATCTAGAATCCCATTGCCGGTGGAGAACGCGACGGTCGTTGCCTGTTCAGTCCGTCGTTGCTTGTTCGGTCATATTCTTAAACTGTTGAACGCTACTTGTGAGATTTGTGTTCAATCAATGCATCTCTGCTTTCAAGAAATCGACCTGCACCACTGAACGCAATCCATTCATGGTAGAACCATCCACCTTCACGTGACTGCTGATGCTGAGACGCAACAAGCCAGGGTACAGTGGTTGCTGGAAGTGCAGGTGAACGCATGAAGCTGAACACGATGAACCAACCTGACAGCGTGCGGAACAAGGAACGGAATCCGGATCGCTTCCAGAAGGTGTTCGCGCTCGGTATGGAGGAGCCAGCAACCGAAGTACCCTGAGAAGAAAGCATGCTTGGTGAATTCGGCTCCAATGGCGGGTTTGGCGGCTTCTTGCCCCAACCCTTCTTCCTGGGTCTCAGCTGATAGGTTCCCTCCGAAATACCTTCCATCGAAAGCGGGAATTCTTTCCCCCTCAGCTAGAATTTCACCTCAGCTAAACTCTCATCTTGCGACCTGCTGTCCGACTGTTGCTGCGCCTTGCCCGCTTACGCGTCTTGGACCTGGCGAGGGGAAGTTGCTTCAACGTTTCACCGGCACTGGAGGGTAGGTCCTCTGCAATCTGAGTGGGAACGCCTGCCAGGAGCGGTGCCATCAAGAGGGCTGTCAAAAGATCGCGTCTATCACCTGAGGCAGTATACTGCTTGAAGGCCTTGTAGGGGTCGCACACTTCTTAAAGAGTCTCCTGGGAAGGGTGACGGGCACGTGCGTGGGTGGCGCCACTATCCAAGAGTGCTTTTCTATCCTTGGACCCACGATCATCCCCTTAACCCGCAGGCTCCAAGGCCTGAGTGACAGCTGGAGGCACGTGACCTAGCATCAGCTAAAATTGACTTGATCTGCTGCTGGCTCTCATCCTTTGCAGGCGGTTGCAAGGCCGGGGTAGCGTTTACAGCAGCTGCCTTGGGGTTCTTCGGGAATGCCTTCTCCTTAGGCTTGGCAGCATCTCCCTTTGATCCCGCCTACACTCTGAGGGCCGGTGTCCCTTACCTCCGCACGTCCT